TTTTTTCATTAATTTTATGAATTCAAAACATATATGTTTGATTTCATATATGTATTAAAATATTTTAAAGAAAGTGTGCAAATTGCAACATGTATGAGTAAATTTTAAAGTTATGAAATGGTATGATATAATTGATAGAATTTAAATGTTTGATAATAAAATTATAATAACTGCTAAATTTAGTTAAGAATTGATTTATTTTGAAACTTGAAAGTGTAACAATCAATGCATATATTCACATGCAAAAAAAAAAAAAAAAAGTTTATTTTTTTAATTTTAAGCATATGAAATTTCATCATTTTGTAGATTTGTCTCAGGCGTTATATATTTTTGCACAATAAATTGTAATACCATTAATCGTTGCATTACATTGTTGAAGTTAATCCTAATATTGCTTTAGAAATAAATTGGATGAAGTATAAGCTTGTTCGTATTGAGATCAAATATTTTTTAAACTTTTACAATAAGTCTAAAATTGTAATTGTTATATGTTCTGTTATTTGATTAAATTTATATAAAGTAATTAGTCAAAAGATACGAATAAATTAAATTTTCTTGTAAGATTATATATTTCTTCCTACCAAATTAAGAAATGCAAAACATTTACCGTACTCAACGTGTTATATCAAACAGGTAATAAAAATGATGGTATTAATAATGCAAATTTACTTAATCTATTATTTTCATATTTTTAGATATTTGTTACTACAATCTATCACCAGTATAAGACTTCTACCGTTCTCAAAGTACGCTATTATTGACATCATTCAAAATTACAAAATTACTTAATTTATTAATTTCGCATTTTTTAATTATCCTACAATTAATCTTAGAAATATATTTTTCTTCAAGAAGGAATATATGCCGCAGAATTTCAGAGATATTGAATATATATGAAAAGATAGATTGCGATAAATACGTGAAATAAAAGCAATTTTCTGTCAATGTTTGAAATTTATAAACTGAACAAGGAAGGAATGTGCTTTCTATTAATTTCCTGTCAAGAATTTCATTTAAAAAACCCATTAAAATGTGAAAACTTTTGCATGTTTGTATGTTAAATATGTTAAAAATATGCATGTTAAATGTTAAATTTGTATTAAATTGCGATCACGGCTTTTAAAGATGTTCAAAATTATTAGCCTAAAAGATTATTTAAAGACCGAGAAGAGTAATTCAAAATATATTAGAGAAAAAATTTTTATTATTTTAAGTAAAAAAGAAACGATGATGTCAGTTAAAAAAAAGCTGAAGGAAATCAAATAGTCAAATAATCTGATAATCTGATAATAAGGCAAAGTATATATTTATTTTATTTTTTCATGAATTCTTTATAAATTAATGAATATGCTCAATTTTTGTAATACGTAAGCAAAGCAAATATTTTTTACGACCATTTCCGTACTATCATATTTTAATAATTTCAACAAAAATTTTAGATCATAACTTTTTTTACTTATATTGTAAATATGAAATTTTATTTTTATTGTAATTATCTATCCAGATATTGATATTTTGAAAAAAAAAAGAAATAATAATCCATTTTCCAACCATTTTCAAATACTAAAAGGCATAAATAATTATATCTAAATATCGAGAAATTTGAAGAATTTTGAATCAGTTAAACAGACCGACTGTATATACATATAAAACATTTAACAAAATTAATATACATTATTTAATTATTCAACAAAAAAACGAACACTCCTTTGCAATTCCAATTATTCTTTATGAATTAAAAATCTATCAATTGATTGAAAGTTTATTTCGTTTTTTTAAAAAAAAATGAATTTAATCAATCATTTTTTGATTCTTTTCAATCAGTTTTTATGATTTTAAAATGTATTAAAGATTTACCAAATCATTTTCTTATCAGCCATTCATTCAGTCATTTGTTTTATAATTTTAAAATAGATTAACAAAATACTTTCTTTTTTACAGTATTAGAATGAATCAAGAAGAATGCATCATTTTAAATTTGATAAATCTTTCATTTCATTTTATCATTTTTCTTCTTTTCCAATCAATATGTACACATTATTTCAAACTGTCACTATTTTTTCCCATAAAAATTGTTGTAAAGAAAAAGAAAATTCAAATTTTCCATCTTTAATAGTTAGTGAATGCACTGAATAAAAAAAATTCAATGGTTAATTATGCGTAATAAACGATGGAGATGAATTTGAATGTGAAGTTATTTTATGAAATTGCGCAAAATGTCTATTTTTATCACTTAAAATTTACTCTCAAACAATTTTTTAAATAAGAATTTAATATCAGAGATGGAGAGAGAGAGGGAGAAAGGGAAGGAGAAAAAAGAAAGTATCATTTTAAAAATTGGAGATTATTGGTTGAAACTATTAATAAATCAATTTTTCCTTTTTTTTGCAAAAATGTTTTAAAAAAAGAAGCTATTTGCTTTTTTTTGAGGAAACACTTATTTATTTTAAACAGAAAAAAATTAAATTTTATAAATTGGGTGGTAGTAAATAATAATAATACTTTAATTAAATACCAAAATGATTTATTAAAATACTGTTTCAAATTATTGTATGCCTTTAAAATGAAAAAAATTTTTGTTAAATGAATTAATAAATTTAAATAAAATTAATTTGATGTTAAGCAGCCAACGAAAAAAGTTGTAATAAAAGAATAAAAGGTTTACTTTTCCTGTACATCTGTTAGGTTTGCATTAAAAAAATTAGTCAATATATAATCGGAATTTCGACTTCTTTTTTCTATTTTTACATTCAAAAATTTAAACCATATGGCAAAGAAATTTTTTTGCAGAAAAAAATTGACTTCGAACTAAAAATATAAATTTTTCGGTCCAACTTTTCCTGTTACATTTGAAACATTTGCATTTATTAAAATAAATTTAAAGGGGATTGTTCAATATTTGAAATTTTCATGAATTCAAAAAATTAAAAAGAAAAATATTCAAAGGTGTATGGCGATGTGCTTTTATTTTTTCA